CGCGGGATGCTATTTCGGGAAAATGATTTTCAAACAAAAAAATATAAAGGCTCCCGCGGTGATACAAGGAAAGACTATGAGTTATTTTTATAATTTGGGACTACTAGGCGGTACCTCGGGAGTGCTCCTGTTGATCTTCTCTATTTGCTGCACTGGTTTGTTGTTGTTACTTAACATGTAACACTCTTGTCTTCCTTTCGTGTTGTATTAGATTTCTTGATTCCATGTTGTTATCTTCTCGTAAATTATTTATTGTTTGTAATTACCATCATATTATTATATCCTCTACCTTATTTTCTTATTATCTCCAACAGGGCATTGACCTGACCTCATCACTACTCTATCGAGTTTAGGCTTGACACTTGCTAGGTACTGTTGACAACTTTAACCCACTGTCAGTCATTCGAAAATAAACTCATCCTTCAAAGAATTGAAATAAGAATAAAAATAGGGAAAATACCATCAAAAGAAAAGAAACACTAAGAGACAAAACTGTGAAGTCGTTGCGAAGACTCTTTTTAAGAAGGAAGGCTTTGATTAAAGAATTCATATAATGGATGGCAAATTCCAATATAAATAACCCCAAAGTATTTCTAAAAGAAAGTTGAAACAATTCTAAGCACTGAGTTGGAGTACAACTTCTCTGCAATCATGCCAAGAGTACCACCGCAACAGCAGCAGAAAAGTACAAATATGGAGGAGATAAAGAAGGGGGCATGGTCTCCTGAAGAAGACCAAAAACTGAGAGCTTATATCATGAAATATGGCATTTGGAATTGGAGTCAAATGCCCAAATTTGCAGGTCTTAGAACTAAAACATAATTGATTCATATCATATTTCATTTCAAATCATTTATATCAGTATATACTTTTTAATGGTTCCTTCTCCGATTTCAAATTTGCAGGGATTTCAAGAACTGGGAAAAGTTGTAGACTCCGATGGGTGAACTATCTTAGTCCTGATGTTAAAAGAGGACCCTTTAGCATGGAAGAAGTCGAAAGAGTCGTCAAAATGTATCAGGAAGTTGGAAACAGGTGAGAATTAATTTATTAATTTTCCCCACACATGACACAACAGAGCATTAAATTAATGGTAAGTAGAAGTATCTAAGAGAATTTCCTTGTTCTATACAGATGGTCAGCCATAGCTGCAAGATTGCCAGGAAGAACAGACAACGAAGTTAAAAACTTGTTCCACACACACTTAAAGAAGCATTTGGGAGTTAAAAAGAGTACTAGGGCAAGAAGCAATAAAAGAGTAGTGAAGAAAGCCAAAGGAAATGAGAAGACAAATACGATCAAAGCTCACAAAAGACTTGTCAACACCAGTTTACTATCACCTGATGTTTCTTCACCCTGCAGCAGCACTATAACATGTGAAGAAAACCAAATGATGGATGTTGTGAATTTCTCACAAACGTACCTGAATTGTTACAGCGTTAGTTCACTTCACGATCAATCAGATATTAACGTCGAAAACACAGTTATCTTTGAGAGCAACCCGGAAATAGATGAAAATATAGGTGTTGATGACTCTGATCAACTTTGTCATCAGTTTGATCAGTACTCCCATGCATGTTCCATTTCTGATATTGATACAAGCTCTACCGATCAGTTCGATATGAATTCCTTCTGGCTTGATATAATTAGGGGTTTAGATCATTTTATTTGTAACAACATAGAAATATCCATGTCAAGTCCTAGTTTTTGTTTATCTTTCCTTTTACAAAGCCATAATCCTATATGTTCGTTAAACATGAAAAGAAAATCTATATCTATATATATATATATATATATATTAAAGGAAGAAAGTTTGCATCGTGGTTAAGTCAAGTGGCAAGCTAATATAAAGCTGCTTGGCAATTTAGGACAATGATATTTGTTATACACATTTAATTTAAATTGAAAGATAAGATGTTTTAATTTAAAAAAAAAGATATTAAATAAGATTCTTTTGATTCTGAATGGAAAGAAAGTTAAGTTTAAATTGATTGATTAATTAGGAAAGCTAATTAACACAAATGTTTCAATTCAAATGAGAGGCCGAATGAGTGAGGCGAATTGTTCTAAATAGTGAGAAATGTTTTTTTTTTTTTTTTTTTTTTTTTTTTTTTTTGAAATTTGAGTCAAAATAAAGAACAACTGAAAAAAGGAAAAAAGTGTTTGTTATGATAAATAAGACTAAAAAAATTTGGTTTGAACCCATAATTATAATCACCGAGTTGTTGGATTAACACTAACTTTCATAACTATCTTAGGTGATTAATAGTGTTTACTTCTCCGTGTGCCCCTAAGACGTTAATTCAATAAATTTAAAGTATAGCAAATGTGAAATTAAGATTTATATGATATTAGTAGTGATAACAAAGAGTGACAATATAAATTGAAGTATCAACTTGTACTTGTATGTTGATTAATAAGTGAAAATTTTATTTGGTGATGAAACACTTTCTTCACCAATATATATATATATATATATATAAGTAATAAAATTAAAATTGTGATTAAGTTAAGTCGTCGTGGCACGCTACTATAAAGTCACTTGGCAATTGAGAATAATATCTATAATAATATTTTATTTTATTTAAAAATTGGAAGATAAAATAATTTTTTAAATTTTAACGGAAAGAAAGTAAATAAAATTCTTTTTAAGTCTAAATAGAAAGAAAGATAATAGTTTTTAATGATATAGCCAACTACCTATCTTAACTAATAAGGTTTTTTCAGAAAAAAAACTAATTGAAAGATAAAAACAGCACACCTATCTTAACTAATTATAAAGGTAAAGATGGAGATATTATCAACACATACTACGAGTACCACTAATCCATTCAGCTAAAATATAAAATAAAAATAATAAATAAATAATGCTCAAAAATATTATTAATAAATATAAATATTAATCTGAGCAGTGAATAATATTTTTTATTACAAGAAAAAGAAAAAACTAAATTCATCTATTAATAGGAGTAGCGGACAATAATATGAATAATTCTAAGTTATGTATAATGCAATAACATAAACAAAGAATAAAAAAATATAAATAAATAATTTCAATAGTAGAGGTATATTGAAGAATAAGATTTATTTGATCTTTGAGAAGAGATTTTTTTTTAAAATTATTATGACATAAGTCATGGATAAGATACATGTAGTTGAAACCATTATAAAAGATAAAACTAAAAAAAATATAAACAATTGCATAATTCCCAGAAACAAATTACAAATATAAAAAATATAATTTAATTTCTTATATAGTTAATTTAAGTAGAAAATTAAAAGTCAAACTTCCATATAAATGAAATAATTATATAAAACTTCATAGTTGAGGAAAAAATATAGAAGGGTGGGGGGGGGGGGGGGGTCGATAGAGATAGTGTGAGTAATTTATATTTTGAATTAATTTAAAAATAAATCTATAAATCATGCTCAATTAGCATTTGAGTTTTGAGAATCACGATGTGTGTTGTATATAGTTTGAATTTGTAAAGCGATTCTAAAAAAAGAATGGTCATGGAAATACAGTTTGATTCGATTCATTTTAAAGCAACTCCAATAATGTTGAAAAGGAGTTAAATCATCCATAAATTTACACAAGAACACAGGAGCTAATGGCATACATATTTGTGGAGATAATGTTTTAAAGTACGAAGCTACACGGATAGTAGCTGAATTAAATATCATTGTATTGCCTTACGGTAAAACAAATTATCCAACATTTTATAGTTTATTTCATATCTCAGTTGTTTGGAATCAGTACATACACTTTTTTGTTTTTTACTTTTTTATTAATGCTAGCAGTTGCTATGCTATAATAGATAGAAAAGGGAGGATGGATTATTCTCTAATGGCTCAAGTATGGAATATGACTTCTTAGTCCGTTGTTGATATTTACATTTATGTTCTCTCAAATTGTATGAGTCAATTGATCAAGCAACTTTTGGGATCGCTATATATGTTAGAATGATATAAATTTGGTTAGGGTAAACATATAGAGGAATATAATTGCACTATTTGGAATTGCTATTTACACAAGATAAAGTAAATTACAAAAATTACAAGCTAAGATTCATTTAGTTAAAAATTACATTTAGGAACTCATCTTCTTTTAGGACATGTGCATGGCAAAAGAAAAATATTTAAAGCAGATTGACATTTAGTTAATTATAAAATATTAATTCTTATAAAATGAATTGCTAAATAAAATTGGAATCCATAAAATTGAAGATTTTTATCAAATATTCTTACTTACAAATATGAGAACAACCCACTATGTCACAAGAGCATCATCTAAATTGTTAAAAATAAAGTGACTTTAATTATGTGGTTAAAATTAAACTGACATCAAAATTATTGAGCAAATTATGATCCAATCGTTCTATATGTTGGTAACTTTCAAAAGGTTAGAATATATTGGTTGTCAATAAATTATTATGTATGTATATATTAATTTATCACAACGTAATTTTATTATTGTGAGAAGTCATTATATTGAGAAAATAATAGAATATATTTTTTATAATTTAAATTAAGATATTATTAAATATTTTTATTAGTTGTTACTCCATATATTACTCCACTCCGTTTCAATTTAGATGAGGTAGTTTGACTTGGCATGAAGTTTAAGAACGAAAAAGAAGATTTTTGAAACTTGTGATCCTAAAAATATTATGGAATAAAAGCTTCGTGAGGCCACGCGTAAAATAAAAAATTTAAAGTTAAATTATTTTCAAATATAAAAATATGTTATTTTTTTGAACGGAATAATAAAAAAAAGTTACTTCATGTAAATTGAAAGGGGAGGAGTATTTATTTTTCATATTATATTTTCATTTGTTTGTATACCGACTATATGTGTGGTTAAAATATTTAAGTTTATGCTAATAGTTATTCATATGATTTTTTAAAATTTACAAATTTTAGCAGGATTACACTGGGTATGTTATCATGGTTGTTGATGATGCATGTCCAAGCTAATTTCCTCAAGGAACAAAGAGTTATTTGCTGCAGTTTTATGTGATTTTTTAGTTAGATATAATATCCAAGTGCAGTCAATGATAAGAGTGATTTGCAGGGTTTCGAATGCGGTTGATGATGCATAGTAGCACTTACTGCCATCAAAATTCACAAGAGAACTTGAGGCGTTTGTCCTGCACTCTATAAATGACGGCTATTCCTCCTGAAACTTGCAGATTTCATGCGTCTTATTGCCTATTTTGCACAAAATGCCATTGAATTTGCTTGTGAATATACACTTCTGGGCTGAAGTCGAAACTAGTTTGTATTTCGTCATCTCTTCTTCCACCATTCTCTTCAAGGTGTCCCTGATATCTCCCAATGCCCAAGTTACTGAGATGTGAGGGCGTGGATCCTGCCATCAAAATCCAGAAAAATTGTAATTTCCACTATCATGGGAAGAATCAATTACACTGGCTAAAAGTGAAAGTGGCAGTTAAAATAAACATAGATGTGGCCAGACCTTGTAAAATTCCGGAAGATTGTGAAGTTTGTAGACTTCATTAACAGCTTGGATTTGCTTTCTTATCTGAGGCGCACAAGATAAAGTAAGTTTCCTCCCCTTGCCTCAAAGAACTATATTAGCAAGAGATAGGAGGACGAGGAAGAACAATAAGCTCTTATCTAACTTGACATGAATGATGCCAGAGGGAAAAAATAGTAGATAGCTTAGTTCAAACTCATTGTTCCATAATTGAAGACATCAAAAGATGAACATCCAGAACAAGCAAACACCAGCTAGAAGCTCACCACTGTAGAGCATTAATTGACCAAAACTAAAGCAGGAAAACCTCAAACCCCACAAAGCAGTACCATGCACAAATCAAGCAGGACTTGTTTTACATACAAAATTTCAGAGAATCTAACTAGTCGAGCAGATCAGTCTACTGAAAACTCTCTCCTCTTTCAGCCAACAATACATATTTAGCACACTCTTCACTAGTTTATTTATAGTTTTATGTATCCATTCACTCCATAACCTGGGATTGCATCCCTTTGCTCCTTGTGTTTTGGTTAAAATTTAAAATATCAAAAGTTAATGTATTGTCCTCCCTTATCAAAAAGTTAATGTATTGTCCTCCCAAACTTGTTGGTCAACCTATTATTATGACTTTTATAAAGACATCAAGCATTTGTCATCCTCCTTCCTAAACTTGAGGCCGACCAATTATAATTGGCTGCTGCCATAAAGACATCATCCATTTCTTATCTCAATCTCCACCTATATTGCGCGGACTCTCCAAAAAGATGCCGCACCCGTGTCGGATCCTCCAAAAATACACTATTTTGGAAGGATCCGACACACACCCGGCCAGTGTTTTGAAAAGTGAGCGCCTCGTCGCTTTAAGCGAGAAGCGAGGCGAAGCGAGAAGCCGTCGCTTTTTCCTAACTGAGGCGACACGACCAGCAGAAGCGATCGCTTCAGCCAAGAAAGCGCGAAGCGACCCAGAAGCGAGAAGCGCAGAAGCGATCGCTTCTGTTCAGCGAGGTCATTTTAAAATAAAATAAAAGGTTTGGGTTCTTGTTTTTACTATACAAAACAGACCCAAAGTGAAAAGACCATTCTTTTTCTTCTTCCCAAGGAGCAGCCAGCTAGGGTTCCAGCCTCCAGGTAATTTTTCTTCTTTTATTCTTCTTTCTTCTTCTTCTTCTCCTTCTCCTTTTCTCTTCTCTTTTTCAGTTTTTCTCGTCCAGTCGTCTGCACATCTAGGGAAGGTGCTGGTTTTTTTCCCCCTTTTATTCTTCTTATTTATAAATTTTAATATGTATCTTAGTTTATATTTTCAGTTTTATCTTAGTTTATATTTTCAGTTTACTTGATATTTTTAATGTGTATTTCAGTTTATATATATATATATATATATTCAGTTTATTTGATTATGTGTTTTCTTATATCTTAATAGGGATTTAAAAATGTCTCAAAGTTCGAATTGCGCTTCACTTCAATGAAGCGTGGGCTTCGCTTTTGAAGCGAGGCGAGCCCCTGTCGCTTTTTTTGCGCTTCTCCGCTCTCAAAAACACTGCACGCGGCAAAATTTTCGGAGAGTCCGAGCAACATAGATCTCTACCATAAATCCATTGGTAAAAAGAAACTTTATCATCCATTTCTTTTCTGAATTACTATAAATCCAGTTAAAGAAACTTTGGTTAATAACATTGCAATTGACACGAGTATAGGCACTCTTCATTTTGCTTTCCATATTATTGATGTTGTTTTGAATAGCTTTATTCGACAAAAATACCAAGCATACCTTAGCTCAACTAAATCTTCTAACTGATGGTTGACCTTTACTTCTTCATTCTTTCTGTTACTGTGCATTTCTGGTTGAATCAATATTCAGTTTCTCCAGATTCACTTAAAGCATGTTCCTAAAGTAAATGGAAAGGACAAAGCCTTGAAGCTTCATCAAGTTTGTGCCGAGATTTAATAGTATTGTGATCTCTTGGAATTCTAGGTGTTATTATCCCCATATTCTAGCCCTGCGCCGTGCAAGCTAAGCTTGGTATTTAAGTGGAGAAGGTAGAGGGGCGGGCCCACTATCCAAGAGTTTCGAAGGCTGCGATTGGTCCTAAGGTTGGCCCCAAATGGATTTCTCGTTCATCAAAAACAATCCCCTTAATCTACTTTTGACATTTTCATATAGGCTAAATTTTTCATAGATGTTACTTTTAGTTTCAGTTTATCAATGTTTATGAAGACAACAAACAATATCAGTTGTGAACATTTTCATAAAATCTATTCGAAACCCTATCAGTAAAAGAAGTTTATGGAAATACTGGCCCTAAGAGAAAAAGGTACTACCATATACAGAACCTTCTATGTAGCAGATGGCTGCGGCAGTGGGAACTGGGAAGAGGAGGGCTGGACAATACAAATAAGCAGCAACTTCTATACAATTTCCCGGTCAGAGGGAAATAACCTTTCTTAGTTATATGACTGTACTTCTAGTTTATCTTTACTTAGACTAGTCATGATTTCAAAATTACCAGTCCTAGTATCACAGTAGACCCTAGAGGCAGCTTTCAACCACATTGATATATCTTAATGAAAACAAAAAATAATCATACAGGTCATATTATTCAGAACACACTCATGGACTATTTATCTACACCATTAAATACATGAATGCAAGTTAGTTGATCCAACTAAAATTATGAAGCCTGTTGTATTTTTTTTCTCTTAGATATCCTTATAACCACCTCAGTAACAAGGAAAGAAAAGGGTTATGCTGGTCAGTTGGGAAAGAGTAGGGTTATGCTGGTCAGTTAGGTAGTCTTTTTCCATTCTACTGAGTCGTTTTTTCTCAAGTTATGTTACCTTTCATTAACTCTAAATTTGAATTTTGGAAACACAAGCATGTGCCTCAGATATCTATCGTATAATAAGGAGCCTAAAAGATGTACCAGCAACAAACTTCTATACAAGGAGCAAACTTATGACTTCAAGCATTCTCGGGTGCTCAGCTAGAAGTGGAGACATCCAAAAACAGTAAAACATTTTTCCAACAACAACTACTAAAGAAATGTCATTTTCCATACCTGGGCTAAGCCTCCTGCTACAACTTCCAGTGACATGAATGTGCGAGTTGAATCATCATTGACAAAGATCTCCCATTTGTTAAAATCTATCAAATACCTATGTCCATTATTAGACAACGGTTACCAAAAAAACTACAGGTTTTACCCAAAATAAAACCAGAGCATAGCATGAATGGCTTCACTAATGCCTCCTAACCTCCTCTGAAACTGAAGCTTCTGGCGTAGCATGTAGACCATTGAATTAATCTGATGCACACGGATTGGGACAGTTCTCCCCAAACTAATGTGAAACTCTCTACCCAACACCACTTGTTCAAGCAGGGTCTCATCTCTCAACAAACCACTTAATGGTATATCGACATCAACAGCATGTAGACTAGGTACAAGTGCTGTGACCTTCTTTAGAAAACGGGCCAGCTCCTTCCTTGTTGTAGGTGGTACATGAACTAGAATGTAAAGAAAAATTAAGAAAATAAGTGTATATCAACCTACCAATAGACTAACCAATATCAATATGGCAAAAAGAGATGAATGGAAATTGCATTATTGGGTTATTCTGCTCTTTGCTCAATTCAAAAAAATAAGATTAGAGGAAGCTGAAATGCTCCCTAGACTCGGAAAGTAGATGAAATTACCGGGGATGTAGACATGTAAAGCATAATTGCCTTCAACGTGAGGAAAGCTTCGAACGCGATTGACTTGACTGCTTGACAAGGAGTCCAAAGGGACTTCACAAGCAAAAGATCAAACACTTGGTGAGCATAAATTCTCAAACAAACGTCTTGTATCAGTATTTTCCTGCTTTTAAGTAAACTTTGATAGTAATGCAAAAGAAAAGTTACCAAGAGAGCTGGGCGGGTGAAGGAGTGCAATAGGAGGTGGAGGCAGAGGGGCCACTGTTATCTCTTCGGTAATGGATGCGGAAGCTGACGGCTGTGGAGGAGTGGGATTGGACTCAGAGTCGGAATCGGAAGAATCGCCTGCATATGAGGCTCTCAGCGCTTCCATATAGCACTCCTTTTGGTTCGGCCTCAGTCGATTAATCCCGCAGCCTCAACCGTCACTGATCAATCTTGTCCAGACTTCCAACTTCTTTCCCTTTAAATTTCTTTTTTAATTCATCCTATTAATAAGAAATTAATTACTGTACTTAGTTTTTATAAAATTATTTTCCACTGCATTTATAAGTAGCTGATGATACAATTAAACAGAAGCAATAGACTCGTGTGTATAGGTGTTGCAACTAGGATAAATTTCATAAATAGTCACTAAATTATCTATTTTTTATCAAAGTTACGTAACTTTATTTTATCATATAAAAATCACAATACTCCCATCAATGTTTCAGAAAAGTCACAATGACTAGAAATATAACCTTTCGGTATATTAACATATTTTTTTGGGCAAAATACAAAATTTGCCAGTCAGTCAAAATTAAATTATGTCGCTACCCAAAAAGTATATAATACACATATATACAAAAAATATATTTATTAGTTACTATTTTTTGGAGTGACTAAAAATAACATTTCTCTATTTGCTAGTATAAATCATTCGATCGACACATTTCATATCTAAACTCTTTTTTAAATCTAATGAAGACTCGGCCCTACATGAAAAAATTACCCGACTCTACAAACGTAAAAATTGCACGGGGCGCCCTATTTTGGCGCTCCTTTTTAACCTGTAGCCGCTTTGTCTTTCTGTTTGCACCCGTACCCGTTTTTTTGTTAAAAGCCATTTGAAAAGACCATTTTGCCCTTCCTTATTAAAAAGACTACTTTCTCTCCAAGTATTCGCTAGTCCTCTACTTTCTCTGTCTCTCTCTTCCGTTATTCGCGTTTTTTGAAGTTCTTCTCTGAAATCAAACGGTTTTCGTCGTTGTTTTTTATTTTTCAACTGCTAGTCGTCGTTGTTCCCACATTACGATTTAATCACAGGTACATTGCATTAACTTTCTGGGTTTTATTTTACGATTTAATTTCTGATTTTGGTTTTGATAGTCATGTATTTATGATAAAATATTTTCTTAGGGTTTAGTTTGATAGTCATGTGTTTTTAGGTTTTTTGAACGAGTGTTTATATTGTTAATGAAAATTCTATAATTTCTTCTGTGATTAGACGTTCAAATTTTGAAATTTTTTGAGAGTTAAACAGATGATACTATAGTTCAATGATATATTAGATATGAGCTGAACTTTTTTTCATGTTTTGGCATTATTTTTGGATTTGAATTTGTGTTTTGTTTTTTGTAAAAAATTACAGCATGTTTTTTTGCTGAATGTTTTGTGCTTGTAACTGGTGAAGTTCTGCTTTAGGAGCTGAAGTTTTTGTGTTTGTAACTTGTGAAGTCCAGCTTTAGGAGCTGAAGTTTTTGTGTTTGTTACTGGTGAAGTCCATCTCTAGAGCTGAAGTTTTTGTTTTATACCTGTCGAACTTCAGCTCTATAGCTGAAGTTTTTGTTTTATACCTGTCAAACTTCAGCTCTATAGCTGAAGTTTTTATTTATACCTGTCGAACTTCAGCTCTATAGCTGAAGATTTTGTTTTATACCCGTCGAACTTCAGCCTTCCTATGTATTGAACTTTTAACTGATCTTTTTGATAATGTCCTGATGTTATTTTTTGTATCTTTTACTTTTTTTGAACAGATGGCTCCTAAAGCACCTAAAGATCCCAATGCAGCTAAAAAAGGCAAAGCCCCTAAAGCACCTAAACTACCTGTAATAGCCTAAGGTCCTTATATCCCCTCTGCTCCACCTACAAAACCAGGACAAAGATATTATGAGTTTGAAGATTGGTTTAACTCTAAGGGTTCCTGGAAGGGGAACCATGATTTGAAGAAGTTCATTGCAAGTTTCTTGACTCCTACTCAATAGCATAAGCTTAATAATGGTACATTTAGATACATTATGGCTATGGAGAATTTGCAATGCAGCATGAAGTTGGTGCATTGTCTGTGTCTTTCTCGAATATTCACGAATGACCGAGACTCCATTAGTTTCAAGATTTTTGGGCATGATGTCTCCTTCACCCTTGAAGACTTTCACATTATGTGTGGTTTGCGGATCATAGCACACAATGTTGAAAGACCAATTAATTGAGAGAGCAATCTTCTGAAGCGGTATTTTGGTAAGTCCAAAGGTGTGACTTTGAAGAATATTTTGTGACGACCCGGCCGGTCGTCTTAAGAATTTACGCCCCGATCCCCTATTAACTGCTTACCCTAAGTTCATTTCTGCTATTTTGGTTTGCCGGGACATTCGGTGTTGAGTTTCGGAGAATTTTGGGACACTTAGTCCCTAAATGAGAGCTTAAGTGTTGAAAAGTGATCCGTAGTTGGAACAATATGAAGACGACCTCGGAATGGAAATTCAATGGTTCCGTTAGCTCCGTTAGGTGATTTTGGGGTTGAGAGCGTGTTCGGAATGTATTTTGGAAGTCCGTAGCTCATTTAGGCTTGAAATGCCGAAGTTTGAATTTTTGAAGTTTCCGGTCCGATAGTGAGTTTTTGACCCGAGGGTCGGATTGGAATTCCGGAAGTTGCAGTAGCTCCGTCATGTCATTTGGGATGTGTGTGCAAAATTTTAGGTCATTCGGACGAGGTTTGGTTAGGTTTTGATCGAAAGCGTGTTTTGTTGGAATTTGAAGTTCTTACTTGAATCTTTGATTAATTCTGGTTTTCAGCGTTGTTTTAGGTGTTTTTAAGATTAGTACAAGTTCGAATAAGGTATTAGGTGGTATTGGTGCTTTTGGTTGAGGTCCCGGGGGCCTCGGGATGATTTCGGGTGGTTAACGGGGAGATTATTGAAGTGTTGCAGCAGCTGGTTTTTTCATCTTCTGGTATTTTTTCTTCTGCGGCTTGGGAACCGTAGAAGAGGAGCCGCATAAGCGGCTGGATCATTGCAGAAGCGGTTTGGGCAGAGTTTCCAGGCGTCGCAGATACGGAGAAAATTCCGCAGGAGCGGCCTCGCATCTGTGAGAAAATAGCCGCAGATGCGGCCATTTGGCTTTTGTTTGGAACCGCAGAAGCGGTGGATAATCCGCACAAGCGGAACCGCATAAGCGGTTGACTGGACCGCAGAAGCGGATGTGGATGTTTTAGTGAGAGTCGCAGAAGCGGCTCACTTTCCGCATAAACGGGACCGCAGAAGTGGTCCCTTGTCCGCGGAAGCGGAAACACCTATTCAGAAAAGGGAATTTCGAGGGTTGGGTTTCAAAAGTTGGAAAAATCAATTGAGAGCTCGGGAGAGGGCGATTTTGAGTGGGTTTTGAAGTGAAGATCATTGTGTAACGTTTTCTTAATCCCTTTTAGTTGTATTCCATCAATATATAGCTTAATCCATCATCTAATTTCGAATTTGGCATCAAAATGGGAGAAAAACTTCTTAGACTAAACCATCGAGTTTTGGGTGAGCATTTGACCTCCGATTTGGGAGATTTTTATATGCTTAGACTCGTGAGAGTACGAGGGTTCTGAAAATGTGAAAATTATCCGATTCCGAGACTTTGGCCTGAGGGACGTTTTGGTCATTTTACCTATTTTCGCGCCTTAGCTTTGAATTAAATAGTATAATCAGTTGCTTTGCAATGTTCTTTACGATATGTAATTGTATTGAATAGATTTGGGCCATTTGGAGTCGGATACTCATGGCAAAGGCGTGGTTTCTAGTTGATTTTGTGCCGGTTCGAGGTAAGTGGCTTGTCTAACCTTGTGTGGGGGACTTTTCCCCTTAGGATATGATATGTGGTAATCGAGTGCCTTGTACGTGAGGTGACGAGCGCGTACTTGAGCTAATTGTTGAAAAATCCGGTTTTTACTTAAGATATTGAGACTGAGTTTCCTTCATATTTGCCTTGTTTTACTTGCAGTTATAACCTGTGTTATATTAGAAAAGCATGTTTAGTTGATTTAACTTGCCTGATTGTTTAAGTTGCCTTGACTGTACTACGTGAAGCATGCTAGGCTAGTACTACCTGATGTTTGTCTTTTGTACTTCATTTCTGAATATCTTCTGGTTGTGGTTGCGCATTTACATTGGAACTACGGATGTGGGATTCCGGTAGCTCCCCCCCCTTGTTTGCTTACTTTGGGACTGCGGGTTCGATTCCCGATAGATCCCCCTGCATATTTACTTTGGGACTGCGGGTTAGATTCCCGATAGATCCCCCTGCACATTTACTTTGGGACTGCGGGTTAGATTCCCGATAGATCCCCCTGCACATTGATAGCTGGACTACGAGACGGTATCCTGGGGGATCCTCATTGTTACCATTGGTATTGAGCTGTACTTATTTTGTGTTTGCTCCATTCCTTGCGTATATGTTATTGTTTTGTTTAGTCTGTCTTATTCCACTGCTGCACTCACTGTTACTGCCTATTCTCATACTGTTGATTTATATTATATTCTTTAACCTCAGTAGGGCCCTGACCTTCTTCGTCACTACCCAACCGAGGTTAGGCTTGGCACTTACTGAGTACCGCTGTGGTGTACTCATGCCCTTCTTGCGCATGCTTTTCATGTGCAGATCCAGGTACCTCTACTCAGGCGCACTATCCTTGAGGCGAGGAGATACACGGAGACTTCGAGGTATATCTGCCGCGTCCGCAGACCAAGAGTCTCTATTCTGTTCCAGCTTCAGTATTTAGTTTATCCCCTTTTCTCTCAGTTGTTTAGATATTCTGGAGTTAGAGCAGCGTACTATGTTTTCTGTTAGCCTGTGGTTCCCGTGAGTTTCCGGGTTTTGGGATTGAGTTGTAGACTTCCGCATTTCTTTTGAGTTGTATAGGCCGACCTTATATGCAGTTATTATTTTAATATGATCAGTTTTAATTAATTATTCCGCAAGTTAGGTTGTTATTTTCGCATTGTTAGGCTTACCTAGTTATAGGGACTAGGTGCCATCATGACATGTTCATGGAGAGTGAACTGGGGTCGTGACGTATTCGAAGTTTTACGACTCGCAATGAAATTCCAAAGAATGTTGTGAATCATGTACATGTATGCTAGAGTGATAATGATGCAGTTAAGCTTATGGAAATTCTTGTTGTAGAGTCTATTCTGTTTGGGAAAAATACTGAGTTATGTGTGGCGGAGGAGTATACATCTATTTTTGAAGATGATAAGGTTTGCGCTGAATATCCTTGGGGTAATGTGGCTTATGAGAAGCTCATTTATTGCCTGAAAC